TTGTCCCCAGCTCATATATAGTATTAGTGAAATATTTTAGTTTACAGTTTGCTTGCAGAGCCACATAGAATGCTTCAAAAATGGCCTTTTTATATGATTATATTGTTAGTGATAGTTGAAAATTTATTTTTAGATTTATTAACAAAATTTACTTTAACATGATCTCGTATGTGGGACCTTATTGTATCGGGATACTATTGTCGCATTATTATCACAAATACCCGAATAGGCGTTACGCAAAATATGTACATATTTTATGGATTATTGTAACCTTTATCATAGATTTAATATTTTTTAGAAATACAGTTCAAACTTGTGGGTATTATGTATCGTAATACTGACCATGATCATACTGACCAGGCATTTGTATGAAACCCAATCCATGCCATCGGATAATATGTTGAGTGCATTGTATGCCTCAATCCATTGCATACTATGGTCTATATGTGTGGCGTATATAATATACACGTGTGGGACGGGTGGGGCACCGGTGCTCAACGGCATACTGTCGTGGAAGGGATGGCAACCAATTAGTAAATAGTGAAATATTTTAGTTTACAGTTTGCTTGCAGAGCCACATAGAATGCTTCAAAAATGGCCTTTTTATATGATTATATTGTTAGTGATAGTTGAAAATTTATTTTTAGATTTATTAACAAAATTTACTTTAACATGATCTCGTATGTGGGACCTTATTGTATCGGGATACTATTGTCGCATTATTATCACAAATACCCGAATAGGCGTTACGCAAAATATGTACATATTTTATGGATTATTGTAACCTTTATCATAGATTTAATATTTTTTAGAAATACAGTTCAAACTTGTGGGTATTATGTATCGTAATACTGACCATGATCATACTGACCAGGCATTTGTATGAAACCCAATCCATGCCATCGGATAATATGTTGAGTGCATTGTATGCCTCAATCCATTGCATACTATGGTCTATATGTGTGGCGTATATAATATACACGTGTGGGACGGGTGGGGCACCGGTGCTCAACGGCATACTG